ATCCTCCTGCCTCAGCTTCCTGAGTAGCTGGGACTACAGGCCTGTGCCATAATACCCGGCTAATTTTTTCTGTTTTTAGTAGAGATTGGGTCTCACTCTCCTCAGGCTGGTCTTGAACTCCTGAGCTCAAGCAATCCTTGTGCCTTGACCTCCCAGAGTGCTAGGATTACAGGCTTGAGCCACCACACCCGGCCTGAGAAATTCTTATATGCATTTCCTATTTACTTTCTTAAAAAACAGTGCCAAATCCTAGTATGGCAAGGGGGTGGAAATCAATGCACCTATCTCCTCTTGGTACCAGGGCTGGGTGGGTGAGCAGATCCAGCTAAAAGTTTGGATGAGGAGAGAGGCCTAGAGGGCTGGTCTCCGGGGGGTGGGGCGATCAGGAACAGGTTGGCAGCTAGCTTACTATCTGTATTGCCTTTTAGGGAGGAGCCTCAGTTTGGGTACCCAACTTCCAGGAAGGGTGAGGGAACAGTGTTTACTTTCTCTCACCCCTCACGGATCTGCACACAATCCTGACATCAGGGTTCACACCTCCCTAGGGTGGTTTTCAATTAGAGTGGAGGAGTGCTGTCTGCCACTCATCCTCCTGTTAAATTATCTCAAGTTAAGAGGACTCAATCCTAAAGCTAACTATTTCAGCTAAGTCTCTCTGTCTATAGATTTTAGAGGCTCTTATATTCTTCAACACAACTACTTAAGAGAGGTTCAAATTCCATCCTGACTCCAAGGAAGTTGATCTCTTGAGTATCTGGCTTTGGCCTTTTTTCAAGGTGCCTGGGACACCAACTGCCTTCACAATGCTTCTTTTGTCATCTGTGTCAGGCCTGGGTTTCCCTCCTGGTCTCCTTCCCCATAACAAGGGCCAGGAGACAAAATGGTGAGTTTGTAAGGAAAGGTACAGTAAAGACTCCCCCAGCTTCTGGGAAAGGAATACCTCCCAGAGTTCGGACTGAGGAGAAATCTCCTATACAGACAGTCCTTGACTTTTTGATGGTTTGACTTAGGATTTTTCAACTTTATGATGGTACAAAGACAATACACATTCAGTAGAAAGCATACTTTTGAGTACATATACAACCATTCTGGTTTTCACTTTCAGTACAGTATTCAATAAATTACATGATATATTCAACACTTTATTATAAAATAGGCTTTGTTGTTTTAGATGATTTTGCCCAACTGTAGGCTAATGTAAGTGTTCCGAGCACATTTAAGGTAAGTTAAGCTATACTATGATGTGTGGTAGGTTAGGTGTTTTAAAGGCATTTTCAACTTAAGACATTTTCAATTTACAGTGGGGTTACATCCTGATACTTTTATTGTGTCATATAAACATACTGGGACGTAACCTCATCATAAGTCAAGGAGAATCTGTATTATCTTCTAGAGTTAGGAAGTTTATCCTATCCTCTAAACCAGAACCCCTCCTCCTATAGGTTAACTCATTATATCTTCAGTGGAGACTACAGATGGAAAATAGTGTGTTCCCTCCTCCAGAGACAAACATCTCATCGTCTTAGAGAGTAAGACGATATATACCAAACTAGCTCCCTTTCCCATCCCTATGCCTGTGCTCAACCCCAAGCCTCTGACCCACTGGCCTTTTCTTCCCATTCTCCTGAGCAAGTCCCAGGTTTCCACCAGGAACACAATGAACAAAAGCAAATATATCCTCCTTGCCTCTGACCTGGCCAGTCCTGGTGTGTCCAAGCTGCAGTCCCTGAAAGAGAGATGTGAGCTGGTGGAGGGCTACTCCATTTGGAGCCTCCCGTTGTCTCCACGTCCTTTTCATTCTCCTGGGCCCAGAGGCTCCAACTGCCTCTGTGAAGGAAAGGTTAAACCGGTTGGGCAGGGAAGCTGGGGGAGCAGAATCTAAACTGGGAAACTTGGTGGCAGGAACAAAGCGAGTGTTTGTTGGGTTTCCCTCCTGCCTGGGAGGCTGTTCTCGGACCACGGCATTCCTGGGTTGGACACAGTCAGCTCAGAGTGGCTTCTCCCCGAGTGGCTTCTCCCCACTGCTGCAGCAGCAAAAGTCAATGCCTTTACATAGGCCACACTTAGGGTCCAATTCAGGGGATCCAGGCACTTCTCCCTGGCCTAAGCTCAAAGAACAGAGTCATCAAAAATAAATTCAAATCCTAGCACTCTGGGAGGCCGAGGCGGGCGGATTGTTTGAGCTCAGGAGTTCGAAACCAGCCTGAGCAAGAGCGAGACCCCGTCTCTACTAAAAATAGAAAGAAATTAATTAGACAACTAAAAAAAATATATATATAGAAAAAATTAGCCGGGCATGGTGGCGCATGCCTGTAGTCCCAGCTACTTGGGAGGCTGAGGCAGTAGGATCGCTTGAGCCCAGGAGTTTGAGGTTGCTGTGAGCTAGGCTGATGCCACGGCACTCACTCTAGCCCGGGCAAAAGAGTGAGACTCTGTCTCAAAAAAAAAATAAATAAATAAATAAATTCAAGCTCAAGAAAAGCTAGTCCTTTTTTTTGAGACAGGGTCTCTGTTGCCCAGGCTAAAATGCAGTGGCATCACCATAGCTCACTTCAACCTCAAACTCCTGGGCTTGAGCAATCCTCCCACCTCAGCCTCCTGAGTAGCTGGCTCCACAGGCGTGCACCACCACACCCGGCTAATTTTTTAATTTTTTGTAGAGATAGAGACTTACTATTGCCCAGGCTGGTCTCAAACTCCTGGCTTCAGGCAATCCTCCTGCCTCAGCCTCCCAAAGTCCTAGGATTACAGGTGTGAGCCATTGTGCCTGGCCAAAGCTAGTTCTTAAACAGAGAAAGGGCTAGAATCAGGCATAACAGACAGCTTTTCAAGAATGGTCAGTCAGTAGACCAGAATGACTCCCAGGGCATGAGAACACCTGCACCTCTGCAGACCATCCTTCCCCACCCCATCTTCTCTAGCTGTGAAGGGGAACTGACAGGCAAACGAGGTGTAGGGGATTAAGTGATGACTGATGAGAACAAGCAGAGGGAAATAAGGGATGGAAGCAAAGGATTCAAAATGGGACAGATATCTCCATGGGAATAGGACCCACAACTCCTACAGCAAGGGCAGAACTCAGCTTGCTTGCCCAGGAGCCTGGGCACTCGGGCCCCGCATTCCAACAACCACCTGTGCTCACCCAGGTGCCAGGAAAACAGACAAGTCAGTGTGGCATTTGTTTTTATTAGAAAAGCCCATTTAGTAAGCACTTCCCTAACCCAGAACAGAGACTGGGTAGCCTCTGAGAGTCCCACAGCTTTCATTTCATCTTCTACCCTCTTCTAAGAGGGGAGGGCAGGGGATGGGGGTGGTATCAGGTAGTCTCCAAAGCGCCCCTCCTGGACCCAAGAGAATTCACATTTGCCAGCAATATACCAACAGCACCTCAGTGGGGCACCAGAGGGCCCTCTAGGCTCAAGAGCTGTTGCCAAAGGCATTCCTGTTTGTATGGCTTCATGATGTAACCAAGGAGGCTCTCATAGACTCCTCCTGGTCCTTCACTCTGATTGAGAGCAGGGTAGGATCCAGAAACTGGCTGAGGGCTAAGGGAGAAGAGATTGCATTTAAGATACCCTTTGAAGTCTGGAAAGCACCTGGATTTCTTGGGAGAGGAGGGCCACGAAAACCCTACTCAGTTCTTCTTCGTTTTGGGAGTGTCATATTTCCTCTTGCTGGAGTACCACAATAGCAGAGGGATGCCAATGGAGGGAAGGGTCATGACCCCGAAGGCTGCCCAGTCCAGCTGTGAAGGAAAACAAAGGCCTTGTTTAGAAATCTGGATTAGGGCACAGGAGAGGGCAGGGAAGGAATGAGTCCAGCGAGAAAGGGAATGGTCTAGCCCAAATTTTAAGCAAAACTTTAGCCAGGAAGGTTCCTCTCTGTCCACTCCTGGTAAAGAATGGATTTCTAAAGACCAATCCATCTTTCAAGCTGTGAAACCAAAGGCCTCACTTGACCCAACCCAGACTGGAAGAGAATCTTCTCTCTTCCCTTGACAGTGAAGCCTCCCGTGACCTAACCCTTCCTTATACCTCGGGCCCCTTCTCTTCCATTCCTCTGCCTCACATTCTGCCCTCCAGCCTCGATAAACCACTTGCCATTACTGCATCACATCATGTCTTTTCTCATGTCTCCACTGTTCTCCCTTCCTAGAATGCCTGGCCTTCCTTACCTCCTCTTTGACTGGTTAAAAACTTTACCTCCTCCAGAAACCCTCTCTGACTTTCAAAGACAGGTTAGATGTCCCTGCTGCATATTCCTCCAGCGCCTAGCATCTAACTTCTATCACAGCATTTTTTCCTCATTTGCTAGTCCTGAGTCCTCTAGGAGCCCATAAGATCTTTAATGGAAGGGAATGTCTTATTCACCATTGTTTTCCCAAAGCAGAGCACGGAATGAGAATATAATTCAGAACTTTGTAATTATTCATTGAATGAATGAATGAATTCTCTCATTCAGTACCACAGACAAATCTTAAAAAAAATTCTCTCCTATATTAGACCACAACAAAGTTCCCACTGAACCTTTCCAACACTCTTAGGTTCTAACTTTGAACCTAACCAGATAAACTTTCAAAAACCCAAAATAGATCCAGGACTCTCAGATGGGGCTCTACTCAAGGCTGAGCAAACAAAAAGGCCAATTTTATGGTTCTGGCAATTGTGATCTCATTGTCAAAAATCTCTGGGCATGGTTAAATCAGGATATTTGATGGCTGTCCATATCAGACACCAAAAAAACAAACCTTCTATGGAGGTCAAGAGGCTTCAGGACCAAAATGGCATTCCAAACCAAAGGAATATTAAGAGAGAACACTAGAAAACTTACAAAATGGGGGGAGAATCGCCTATCAAACTCCCGCTGAGCCAGGATTCCTCCCTGTCCAGGTGCACTGGTAGAGCCAATCTGAAAAGAAAAGAAGGCCATTAACGCAAGTCCTCTCACCTGAGAAAGGGCATTCCCAACCAACCCAATTCTAAGCATTCTTAGTTCCCAAGTGCCCAAGAGAGCTTTAAGATGAGGGAAAACTTTTGAACTAGAGAGCTGGATGATTCTCTTCTCTTAGTGTGTTGTAAAGAGGAGTAAATTAGGAGCCAGGAGACCTGAGAAACACCACACGATGAACATTCATTAAATGGGGTAGGCCAGATATGCAAATGAAATTAAAGCCAAATCCTTCTGTCTTAGCCTCAGACTCTGGAAGGAATGAAGCTGCTCACCACCAATGGCTCCTCTGTAGGGCCAGGTGTGTAATGTGTGATGGAATGACTTGTCCTTGGTAATCATTTACTTATGCCTCAAGAGAAAATATTTTTCTCTACTTCACAGGGTTAACATGAGGCTCAAATGAAATGAGAAGGATTCTGAAAAGTATAATGCCCTACCCAAATGTACATTATTAGAGAGGCTACATCTGGCCTACATTCCTTTGTCTTGGAGAGGAGGCCAGGAGTCTGAAGCACCTTGCAAACAACTTTGTTCTAAGGTGGCAGCTGAGCCTTTGAGTTTGTCTCTATTAACCCATCAAATACCAGGTAGAACCAAAGAGTCCCGAGGCTGGTTAGGAAAGCAGAAATGACACGAAATGTGAAAACACAGCTAGGATTACAAGAATATGGTTCCATGTGGCTTATAAAAAAAGAAAACTTAGAAAGCACATTAAATGTTAGAGAATCTTAAATTTCTTTTAGTTCTATGGTTGATTGTGTTAAGTCCCTTCCCTACTTTATACTAAGTAGCCTACAGCCTATTTGTATCGTCCTATCAGAGGACCATACATTTTAGCTTTACAAATTTATGACTTAAGCTTTTTGAGAGCTGGGACAGTATCTTAATCTTCTTGGTATTCTGAGTCTAGAGCATGGTAGGGTCTCCATAAATGTCTGCTGACCTTCACATCAATCAAAAGACTGTTTAGTATTGGCCTGGAGAGGTGGCTCACGCCTGTTATCCTAGCACTCTGGGAGGCTGAGGCAGGAGGATTGCTTGAGCTCAGGAGTTCGAGATCAGCCTGAGCAATAGCTAGGCCTCATCTCTAAATTTAAAAAAAAAAAAAAAATTTGTTTAGTACTGAGTTTCTATAATATATGGGAAACAGAAAAATCTAAGACAAAGTCCCTGGCCTCAAGGAGTTTATAATTAAATTAGGAGGCAGAGGGTTGGGGGAGGGAAGACCTACAAATAAGAAAGAGAACTACTGAAGACAGCAAGTAATTAAATGCTCAAGTGGCATAGACGGTAAGTGCTACAGAAGTTTAGATGGAGTCAATGAATGTTTACTGAAAGAATGAATAGGAAAGAGCAATATGAATTGCAGAAGACAGAAACAAGGAGGTACAGCTCAAAGCTGGGTCTTGAGAAGGCTTCAGATAATGAAGTGGAGGAGAAAGAGTACTTCAAACAGAGATCAAAGCAAAGAGGAAAGATAAGCACTGAGAGGGGGAGGGGATGCAAGAAGGAGCTTGGCCTAATTAGGATGGAGGATCTGTGTGGGTAGTGGGAGAAAGGCAGAGAACAGCTAGATTATTGGAGGGTGTGCAATGAGAAAAGCTCAGCCTTGACGCAATAAGCAGGAGCATTCTACACAGGGGAAGGACAGAGTGGAGACTGAGAATAATCTAACAGTGACATGGAAGGTGGATTAGAAAGGCAAGAATGGCAATAAACTGGGCAGTAAATGACACATTCCAGACTAAAAGGAAAGCGGAAGGAATGAAAAGGAAGACACTGCTATAATACTACTCCTCTTTCATCCATTTCAATGGGTCTATTCTGGAACTTTACAATTTGAAACATATTTCCTTAGGACAGTATCAAGTTTCTGATCAATCTTATCTCCCTCAGAATTTAGTGGCTACTGTGGAAATTTTCTGTAAGAAGTTTTATGTTTGTTTTTAGATTGTTTTTTTTTTTTTTTTTAGACAGACTCTCACTCTGTTGCCTGGGCTAGAGTACCGTGGCGTCAGCCTAGCTCACAGTAACCTCAAATTCCTGGACTCAAGCGATCCTCCTTCCTTAGCCTCCAGAGCAGCTGAGACTACAGACATGTACCACCACGCTCAGCTAATTTTTTCTATTTTTAGTAGAGACAGGGTCTTGCTCTTGTTCAGGCTGGTTTCGAACTCCTGAGCTCAAGCTATCCTCCCACCTCGGCCTCCCAGAATGCTAGGATTATAGGCGTGAGCCACTGTACGCCACCTGGTTATTTTTTTTTTTTAATTAAAAAAAATTTTTTTTTTTTTTGGGACAGGGTCTCCCTGTTGCCTGGGCTACAGTGGCATCATCACAGCTCCCTGCAGCCTCAAACTCCTGGGCTCAAGCCATCCTCCTTGCTTCAGCCTCCTGAGTAGCTGGGACTACAGTCACTTGCCACCAAGTCCGGCTAATTTTTCTATTTTTATGTAGAGATAGGGTCTTGTTATTTTGCTCAGGGTAGTCTCAAACTCCTGGCCTCAAGCAATCATCCCACCTCAGCCTCCAAAAGGACTAGGGTAACAGGTGTGAGCCAATGCTCCCAGCCTAGAATCTGTATTTTTAAATTGATACATAATAGATGTACATATTTTGGGGGTACATGTGATATTTTGATATATTCATATAATGTATAATGATCAAATCAGATAATCAGAAAATCTGTCACCTTAAACATTTATCTTTATGCTGGGAACATCTGAATTCTTTTCTTCTAGCTATTTTGAAATATATAGTAGATTACTGTTAACTATAGTCACCCTAGAACTATCCAACACTAGATCTTATTCCTCTATCTAACTGTATTTTTGCACCCATTAATCAATCTCTCTTCATCCCTCTCTTCCCCCTTTCCTTTGCAAGAGTTTTTAAAGGAAGGCAGATCCAAGCCCTATCCAGCTAAGGGTTTGGACAACTCACCACGACAGGCCCATCCTCCTGGGCCAGGTAGGTAATTGTTGCTGAGGTGAAGTTGAAATAACCAGCCTTGAGAGGGCGCAGGACCACAGTGTGGGAGACGTTGCTGGCACTGGCCAGAGTTAAAGAAGGGAAAAAGATGAAGCTAAAGTTGTAACAACCTTTCAATTTGTGGACTAAATGCACCCTTCACAAAACAGTTACCAACTTGTGATGATTTCATACATGCAGGAATATTCATATTTCATACATGCACAATATTCTGCAGGAATGAAAAAATATACGCTTTTTTTTTTTTTTAAGTCTAACATGTGTGGTACGTCTTTCTACCTACATCTTAAAGGGTCCATGTTGTTCTCAGTATCAAGGTTTTTGAAGTAAACTTTCAAAGCACTACATGCTATGGATAAAAAATATAGTCACTTAAGCTCACAGAATTTTTCATTGACTATAATTCAAGGAAGTTCTTGAAAATACAAATAAAAAAACAAAAACAAAAAAATACAAAGACAACATTTGCCCTCACCAGAAAATCTAAATACACTTTAATTCACAAGGAAAGAAAAGCACCTAATTCAATATTCAGGAAATAACTGGTGGATCAGAATAAGATTCATCAACTAAGAAGAGACTTTAAAAGGTCATAATGATCTTCTATGCTAGCATCCCACTGAATTTCTTTTAAAAACACGTTAAACATCCTTCCCCAGTCACAAAATCTTCATATGTGTCTACATCTTCTCAATATAGCATGTTTCAGGGCCTTATAACCTGAACTTCAGGACCCTCCTTTTTCAGGTCTACTCTAAATCACAGTCACACAATTTATACCAGTCTGTCTTGCCCCATCTTATCCAGAGAGATAAGCCAAGTAGGAGAATAGCCAAGCACATCCAGCCTATTTGAAGCGCCCCTACCGCTTTGCAGGCAATGTCTCACCCGCCTCCCACCCTTCATCATTCAGTGCCAAGAGGATACGGGGCAATCCGGTCCCATTTCACATTGAGCATTCCAGAGACAATGCCAAAGTCTTCTGGAGGGAAGGAATCATCAGATAATTCCACATCTAATGCAGCACTAGAAAATGGAAGAAACAAAAAAGGTTAGTAAGTAATAGATATAAAATTAAAGAAATTAATCAAACCTGCCTGCTTGTCCTAAAAAATCAGAACCGCAAAAGAGAGATATGAGTCAAATATAACTTGGGTCTGTTGCATTGAAGAATCCAGGTCAAGGACTGGATTCTATTGCTCAGAAGCCCCAAAATAATTAAGTATCTAGGAGGGGAGTGGGCACAAATCCATTCTTGCCTCAATTTCTCTTCATGAATGTGTGTGTATGCATGTGGAGGGAGGGGGAGAGGAGCAAGGTGAATATGGAAGAGAAAACTAAATGGATTAAAACGAAAGAAAGGCCACAAAAATGCTCGCAGTGCTAATAAAAGAAGGAAGCTGAAACTTTAAACCCTGGAGGTAACAAGGAATTGTATATTTTCTGTGTCTTCATCTTCCCCTTTGTTTCTCCACAATTCTTGCTTCTTCCCTACCCTGAAATTCTTCCAACCCAAAAAGTAGAAGATGGCTTCTTGTAACTTAGGTAAGAATGTCCTCCTCTTCCAAAAGTAGGTCCAGTAGTATATTCACTCACTCAAGATATCTGATGATGGAGGTCCCCCAAGAGGAATCACTATCCACCAAGATGTTTCCTATTGCCAACTGATAACTAAGACTCCAGAAAAGGGCCCAATTTGTAACTCCAGAGCCTCTTACCTTGAGCCAACATTGTAGATGTTGTACTGTAAGGTCAGGTCTCGCCCCTCCACAGCGTATCTGTTCAGCAGTGATTTGGAGGCCAAAAGCCTGGCTCCTTCCTCTGCTTGAGTGACAGCAAATAGAGCCAACACCACAAATGCCAATAGCCTCATCTTTGGAGAAAAAAGCAAAGTGAGCAGTTAACCCACCAATGTAAAAATCACCAAAATCCTCCTATGACAGCCCTCCCTTACAAGCCTGAAAAGCTCTTTTGATCCTATCAAAGCAGCAGCCCCTTCTACAGAGCAGTCCATAAGCCCCCAACGCAGACCCGTTTTCCAGACTCACCATCTCCGCCCGCAGCCCTCGGAAAATAGGTCAAAACACCAGCATATCCACCATTCTCTTCCTGTCACGGGGCCCCTGGGTGCTCACTAAGTGCTGGGGGTCTTCTGAGAGGACACCATGTGGCCAAAATAGGGTCTTCCTTGGGGTGCCTGATTTCGGCCCATTTCGGCCCCGCAGCATCCTCTAGCTTTCCCTCACACAGGAGTGCCCCACAGCTGCAGCCTTCCCGCTGCTCCTCTCGTCCTCGGGCCGGCTCCACTGGGATCCCACCGCGCTCTCGCGAGGTCCTCTCCATGTCCCTGTATCCCACTCCTCAGTCCATCCTCCGGGATCCCATCCGTCCTCGGCCCCACATCCCTTTCTGGTTCCCTCCCGGGGCTCAGTCCGCTCTGCCTCTCCCCCCTCCTGTCAAGGTTACACGTCCTCCCGCCGGCGCGCCCTCTGCCCTACCCGCCCTTTCCGAGCTAACCCCCAGCCACTGGATGATGCGCGGACACAAGACTCTCGCCTCTCCCCCTCAGACCCCCTAAGCCTCCGGACTCACCGTGCGCAACCCCAACGCCTTTCCCTACGGCGGGGTGGGGGGGTGGGGGTGGGGGAACCACCAAAACCGGAAAAGAGCGTCAGCACACGAAAGACCGGAAATGAGCTCTTGCCGGAAACCGTAGTGTTCCGCCCAATGCATTGTGGGAGTTGTGGTTCTTCGACGACCACCCCCCCACCTTTTCCCTTTGTGTGCCCGCCCGCCAACAGGATGTGAGACCTCCTAAAACAGGTTTGCCTGCCCGTCCTCCACGCTTTTCTTTTTATGCCCTTTTCAGTAGCTTTGCAAGCTGGCTTGTCACTGCTGTATGTGACCCGTATTTGGTTAGGTGCTTTGGGAAACTAGCAAACCTAGCAATTTGGATTATCTATCTAGAGTGTCGAGTGTACCGTCGAACTAGGAATTAAAGAAAAGCTATTTCTACCAGCATTCCTTCTATTCCCAGGTGATAAACATAGTCATTCTCTCCATCCAGCAAGTCACCAGCCCTGAGCTTTATTTAGAAGCCCTTTAAAGTGCCAGAAAAGTACATCCTTTCTTCTCCATTCTTACTATAACTGCTTTTAGTTCATGCTCGTTACTCTATGTTGGTTTTACTCTGGTAGTCTCCCTATCATAGGTCTTTCCCTGCACTTTTTAATCAGCTACCATTCAAACTTCCCAAAACAGCATTTTGAACAGTAGACCCTAGGTTCAGAGGATGAACTGTGAAATTAGGCAGTCAGGAATTCAAGCCCCAGTTCTGCGACTTACTGGTTAGGTAACCTTGAAACAAGTGTTCCTTATATAACACCTTGGTTCCCAAATCTGTAAAATAAGATAATTATAGTACTCTCAAAAAGTTGGTGGATCAAATAAGATCATGTATGTAAAGCTCTTAGAACACTACCTGGCACCTGTATGTGCTAAGTTAATGGTAACTATCAATATTACTATTATTCTGTATCTCCATTGTAGCATTCCTGCATTCAGTATGTATTTATCAAAAACCTACTTTGTGCCTGGCACTGCTCTAGGTCCTGGGGATACAGTGATGAGTATGACAGGTAAGTTTTCTGTTTTCTGGGGGCTTACATTCTTGTGGAGTAATACATATCACCTGTATTTGTTTTAGTATCTGTACCTCCATTCTCCACTTCCCAAATGGAGCTTTTTGAGGATATTATCCAGATTGTCTATTTTCCATTGCTTAGTGTCATGCCTAAGCACACAGGACATAATCCAGGAATGAATAATAATGACTTCCGTATATACAACCTCCAATCTGCTCCTACTTCAGGCCTTTGTGTGTGACTTCCCTGAAATGTCCTATCGTC